CCTGCATCTGCAGAGCATCTGTAACGGCTGAGGAGGCTCATCAGTGGAAACAGACGGTTTACTAGATTGTTCAGGTTGTTCCTCAGTCATGGTTCAGACTTTAGCAGAAGACAAAGTTTTCTGTTCTGTTCAACTATTAGTTTAACACAACATATTTACTGTACACTGATAAAAATAACAGAAACTCAAATCTCATTACTGAAATACACTTTCAGTCATGCGGTGATTTCTTGTTAGGATGATTCCAGGAAGAACTGTGGGGCATGTAAACATGTTGCTCTGGGTGACCTAGTTTCCTGTGAGCATGCACAGGCAGAGCAGGTTTCTGCAGCAGGTGAGTTTACCTGCTTTCCTTCAGGAACTGCAGTGACGGTCCCATAAATAGCCACCGTGCTCTCTGTGGACAAAACCAAGCCGTTGTAGCACTGGCACTAAAGACAAGAACAACAGAGAGTCGCACTCAGAATCAACTTCAGAAATTAAACAGCTTCTTTTTAAAGCACCAACTTCAAATGAATCACTCCCACCGATTTTGTTAAATCTTTGATTCTCTGCTTAGGCCTGGTGGTAGAGGATAAAAAGAAATGTCTTGAACTACATTCACGGCCAAATGTTTTAGGAGCGGCAGTTAAACGTTTATCCCCCCCAAAAAAACAAACAAACAACTTTTTAATCCCAGGGAGCTCTTTGCAGCTTGTGAATATGTTTCTGATCACTCTGCACAACAACACAGAAACACTGTGAATAAAGACAGAAGCAGCAAAGATTGTGAAAAACCACACCGGTGCCAAACTTTTGGCCGTGACAGGACATGAACATTTAATTTTTAACCATAACATGTAGCTCACAGTGTAGAAAGGTTAAAAATGGGGGTTTATGAAGGTTTACCAGCTGATCGGAGAGGACACACTGGAGGAAACCGGTGCCATCTCTCAGCACAAGGAACATCAGGTTCTTCCCTGGAGGAGACAAAATAAAAAGCAAAAAAACATAATAATACACATATGTTGACTCAAAGTAACATTTTAATTATTTCTATCCTCTTAAAAAACTTAATTTGGCTCAATCTTAAAAACTGAATCTTACTCATTTCTCTCTTTTCACAGTCAGTAAAGAATCTTAAACTTACAAATTAATCTTTTCATTTCAAGTTTGTCATTTTGACATTATTCTTAAATGCAAAATAATTCAGAAATATCCTCGTTTAAGCCTTTAATGCAGCTGTCCGTATTATAAATGAATAACAAGCAACAAATCAGTTTTGAATTCTCTGACTTTGGAATCTTAAATTGAAATGAGAATGAGTAAATACTGAATGGATCGACTGTTTGATTATATTGATGTGTTCCTCACCCTGCCTCCTGAGGCGGTGAACCCATCCAAACACTTTGACCCTCTGGCCTCTCTTTTCTTGGAGACGATGGATTTTAACCTGAAATAAAGACAACAATCATCTTTAAATCATCACCAGGAAGAAGAAGAATCAGTGAAATGATTCAGACTTTGGAGTCATATTTATATTTCTATTGATTGTTCAGCTAGTTTGGGGTTTAAAACAAACTTCTGTGTTTCAGCTGCTCAATTCAAACAGCAGCAAACCAGCCAAAGCTTATCGCTCCACACAAACCATTCTGGTTCAGGAATGTCGTCTGTGAACTGTTTTCTATCTACACAAAGCCAGTTACTATCAGCTTAATCTACTTTCTTTGTTTTTAAACTGTATGTGACTTTTATTCAGAAACGCTGCATCCGCTGCAAAATATTAAAAATGAATGTAAAGAACCAAAAAGTGAAACTTTAAGGAACAGGTTAAGAGGGCTGTTCTTATTTTTTCTCATATATATTCTTTTACAACAATTAATTCTCATAAAACGGTTCCCAATAAGGAGGTTTATAAATCTGCAAGCAACCAAAAGCTCAGGCCTTATATTTCAAATTAAATGTAAACATAAATCAAGCATAATGCAGTCATTCAGTGATTTCAGATAGAAACGAAACAAGCTGTTTACTTTGAACTGTGAATCATGCAAAGCTACTCTGAGTCTAACACTAAAAAGATGGAGCTGGAAATGAGGCTGCATTCAGAGCTGCTGTTCTTTGGACTGTTTTTTGCTAACTTCTGTGTTCAAGTTCAATCAGACTTAAAACCAAACTTTCTAACAGGAGCAGGAGCCAAAATACAGGTAAAATAAGAAAGACTGACTGCTTCAGCCTCAGGCAGACTGGGATCGTTCTTAATGACGATCTTCTTGGCTTCCTCCAGGTTCTTCTCTCTCCTCTCGTTGTCCTCGGCCTTTACGACAAACACAGCGGAGCCATAATGAAGAGAAAAGCACAAAACGATTGAATCTGTAGAATGTTTTGTGACCCACTGATTGTAGGAAACATCTCGAGGTTAGACACAAACCTCCTTCTTTTCTTTGGCATCGTTCTTTATCTGCTCGCGGTTAAAAGCCTTCTTTGCGTTCTTCATCTGTGTCTTAGAGATCACCGCCCAGCGCTGAGGGAGACGAGGAGGAAAATGAACTGAATCAGTCATTAATAACAGTTAGTAAAAACAGGTGCTGCAGCTGGTACTGGAATAAAACTTGCAAAGTTTGGTTCAAAATGGTAAAGATTGGATTTCTATCCTTGTTAAAGTGATCATCTATAAATATAACCAACCTCTCCCTCCTTCTGGGACTCTACAAAGATGGTGGGGAACGGCTCCTTTCCAGCAAACAACAGAGCCTGTGAAGATCCAAAGACACAGTGAGGTGCTGACAGACATCCCACAATCCATGCAGCCTGAAGCATTTTTACCCGTGCACATCTGAAGTAAACAAACAAGTTACCTTGAGAGGAGTTTTGAAGGGTTTCTGCTCCGTGCCATCTCCGTCTTGGTCGCTGCCACATTTATCTGACACATACAGCTCACCTGAGAAACACCAGCACAGTCGGCTCAGTATTTTCTCAGTATGTGCAATCTCTTAAGTTTCTGGCGCTCAGATTTTACCTGCGTTCAAGGCAGGGCTTACTCGTCACTCAAGAGAATTAAAATGCTGTGAGAAAAACACATTTAAAATACTTCCACACATCGGTACTAACAAGGACAAGAAGGAGACGTCACATTTCTCCCACGTTAGCGCCCTCTTATATGAGAATTGAATTTAAACTTCTGCCCCTCATATATAAAGTCTTGCAAAATCAGGCCCCACCATATCTCAGACCTCAAAGTACCAAATTATCCTAGTAGAGAACATTGTTCTCAGACTCAGAGTTTCCAAAAGAGGAATCAGAGACAGAGCCTTCAGCAACCGGCTCCTACACAGGAGATCTTCCTGATAGCTAAAGAATGTCAGACAAAGAGGCAGACACCCTCTGTACTTTTAAGTTCAGGCTTCAAACTTTACTTGTTCAAGCTTATGGGATCAGGTCATCTTGCACCATCTCTCATTTATTCTGGTTCCTTTTAAAAGTGAGTACATCCTCATAAGTGACCGTGTGACCCTTGGGGTTCCCTCTTTAATATTGTAATATAAAGCTAATGAGGTGACTGGTGCTATATAAATAAAACTGTATTCGAATTTAGTCCTGGTGAAGAATTTGGAGATGCAGTACTTTTCACACTTACTACATACCACTGAGCAATGTGATCCGCAAGATTGCATCATGTGTTCAAATATCTGACATGTAAAATAGTCAGCCTCCGGGTAACAACAGGCAATGGTAAAGACTAAGACTGTCACGCTTTTTATCGTTACACGAACTTTACATGTAATGTGTAAAAATCTGCTGTATATTTACACCACATATGTGTTAATTCTATCATAGTGACACCCTAAAATGAAACCGAAAGTACCTTCAGTTTTCTGCTTGATTAAAACAGACTGAAATACAGTCACGGGTTAGATGTTGGTTTGATCAATTAAATAAAAGACGGTGAGATATTCAAATCCAGGTCTGCCGCAGCCTCCTTTTGCTTCTCCACTGCAAACTGACAGCTGCCGTGGCTAAATGTTAGCATATCCTTGCTAATGTTTTCGTTTGTATAATGACTTTCATTGGTTCTGCAGCGGTAAGAAGGGCCGATCGATGCGTGATCATGCCACATATTAGCTCATATCATTCCAGAGACCTGACAGAATCAGAAATCGGCGTTACACAGCAGGCTAACTGCTAACATCTCTGCAACTGATGCAATATTAAAGCCACACATGTCTGTGGGAGCTAGCTAACCAGCTAGCTCACTCTCCTTCCTTACCTACTGAGATCTGTTCCACATCTTTCGTTATCTCCGTCGCCATTTCGGCTCTGTTACTGCAGCAGCAGCCCGCTAAAACGCGCTAGTTTTATATTTAAAGAATACGGAATTTAACCTCCAAAGCCGACGACCGGTATTCACTGCTAACCGGTTACATGCAACTTTGCATCAGCCCTGCTACAGCCTGCTCTCACACACACTGAAGGGAAGAGGGAGGAGACTCAAGTGTGTTTTCATTTCCCAGGCGCTGATTGGCGAGAGTGGAGACGTCAAGCAAATCCAATTGGTGGAATACCGCGTCAGTCAACTCATGTGCCATAACAATGCGACCAATCAGCAACGGGGACTGAAATCAAAGAAGACTCTTGTGGTTGATAATAGTTTTTCTTATTTTGCTTCTTAGTCTATGAATATTTTAATTGTTTGCTATAATCATTGGGGGCAAAGATGCTTCCGCATTTGATGCTATAATTTTTTTTAATTATTTAATGCTACCATGTGCCCATGGTTCCACATTCATAAATGTAATTTTATGAACAGAAAGCCAGATTTTCTTGTTTTTAATGAGGGAAATAAAATAAATAACTGTCAATGATTTCTTCCTGCTTCCTGCATTTTTCCTTTTCAGTTTCGTATTTCACGTCACACTGCTCTCCAGGTAAAGGTGGAGTAGTTTTGCGCTAGGCCCCGCCTGCTGGCGGAGTCGTTCTAGCCTCTGGTGGTATTTTTCTCATAAACTCTTCAGCTATTTTGGTCCTTACTGAACTGATAAGGAGGAAAATTTAAGAATGTACTTAAGACTAAGATGAAAAATATTTTAAAATTCATTTAATAGTCAATTCAGTGGGATGTTTGATTTAATGATAAAAGAAAGTTAAAAGTACAATTTTTAAAGGCTATGATACTGAGTGACTGATTATAAATAATATTACATGTTAGGTTTTTGTTTTGTCATTTGATGCTTAAAAAACAATGATTTTAAAATCATGCATCACTTTCCTTTAAACCTCTCACTGTCCTTAAAGTAAATACACATTCAAACACAGAAGGAGGAATATATGTTACTTCATGTAAAACAAGAAAAAACAATATATGGAGAAACTTGCAGACATGCTGTAGAAAAGTCAATTTTTAATTTATTTTGATTTACTTTGATTCTATAACTTAAGGATGTTTGTGCATGCATCCTTTAGTCCAGTGTGGTATGAAACTGGTTTCACATAAAAACCTACAAATTATACATAAACTTGACAAAAAAAAAATTTTTTACACACAAAAAATTTTGTTGTGCAATTTCTTTAGTTTGTTCATTACTTTGTAGGTGAAGTAAAGGGGAGCCTGTCTGTTTAGTCCAGAAGAGCAAATAATTGTACCACAACCCCAACCTGTCTGAGTTTGCTAAACTTTCTTAGCCTTTTGAGTCATCAAGGATTTAGCAGAAGCTTTAAGATTATATATGCCAAATCCAGGACAGACTGTCCAACTGAATCTGCTGGACTCTGTGGAGGAGAGTCGTGGTTTCAGTGGCTTCACAGATGTTATGAAGGACAGAATACCTGCACTGTGATCCAGGTACACTCCAGTTCTGGAAGACTGAGAATGGAGGTCTGATGGTGTTGTGTATGAATTCATAACCACCACAGAAGCACTCCAACGCCCACAACCTGTCATTGTTTCCAAAAACAGTCTCTCTTCCTGATCTGCTTATATCTTTGTGAGCTAATGCTATGACAACATTCCCATTCCACTCCACCTCCAAGTAACAATGTCCTGCGAGACTTCACCTGAGGTCAGTCAGTGAATCTGTCTGGGTGATCTTGATACCTTTCACCTTAAGTAGAACTATTTTCTACTTTTAAGCTCTGGACACATTCAATACGCTGGTGTGTTGTGTTTAGATTGAATGTGTTCTGACATTTATAATTTAAGAATTCATCTCTGGTCATGGGCTCTGTCTGTGACAGTAAGACATCCCATTCAGTTCCTCTCAGAGAGGTTTTTGTCCATTCCTCACTGGGGATGTCCTGTAGTTTGTCTCTGGTCTCTGACACAGCTGCCGTCACATCCTTGGTGTACCTCTCAGGATGAATATTGATGCTGGCTGAGTCGGGAGCTTCACTGAGACTTGACAGCAAGGTGTAGTTGTGTAGAAACTGGGTGGGGTCCTCTGTGTGAGAGAGCTGCTCCAGCTCAGTGTTTCTCCTCCTCAGCTCAGAGATTTCCTAATGCAAGTTTCCCCTTAAGTTCATTAATTTGACTCACTTCAGACTTCTGGCAAGCTTTGATCTGCTGCTTGACCTCTGTGAAGATCTCCTCACTGTCTCTCGCAGCTTTATCAGCAGACTGATTGAAGGTCTCCACCTCCTGCTCAAGCACCTTCAGGTGTTTCTCGCTGTCCTGGACTCTCTGCTGGATTTTATCTTGACTCTCTTTGAGCTCTCTCTGCTTTTCACTCATTGCTGCACCAGTCAGTACTTTGTCGTGTCCTTTACATTCATCCATTGTGCAAAAAAATTCAGATACATAAGGTCTGTCTGCACTAAGGACACCTGTGGGTTTCCTTCTGATCCTCTTCATCCCAGTACCTTTTAATACAGTTCATACAGTAGCTGTGTCCACAGGGAATAGTCACTGGATCCTTGAGGTGATCCAAACAGATCGAACAGCAGAGTTTGTCTCTGTCCAGCTGATTTTCTTGTTTGCGCCATTTCCAGGACAGTAAATGCAACTTAACCCGTTGTCACCTCACTTATATATGCTGTGCTCTCCGTGTCTCTATGTTGCTCTAGTGTGCCTGCAGCTTCTCTATCTCTCTCTCAGGACCGCACATTTGGACATTTGTGCCCTTGAGAATCTTATATGAGTAAGCAAATCTTATAATTGTACACTTGTGTGCAATATAATTAGGGAAAAGATATTTTGCTGGAAAGTTTTATCTGCTGCAGGATGGTTTTCCAACAACAGGCTCACAGATGTTCCCATAGCCTTAAAGTAACCTTAAAACTCAGACGGGCAATGACAATTTATTTGCATTTGTAGACTGTAAACTTTCTGCTAATGGGCTCACTAGATTTGAAAATCGGTGCAATATTTGAAAAATTATAATTTTTATATAATTTTATTTATCCGCATAATATCCTACAAAACTTTTCATACAGCTTTTGCCTGGACTCTTTCTTCCTTTACTTGCTCATTAACACAAATCAGACCAATAGCTCTATTGTTCTCTTTTAAACTAAGGAAGGTTAACCTCTAGTAAAGCACTTTAAATTAATTTCAGTTCGATTTTCTGGTAAACGTGTAACAAAGGCATTATTGCACTACCACTCGTCTTAAATAGTGAGCAGCTAATCACAGGATTACAAACAGGTGAAGTCATCAATCCAGGTGTGCAGAGATGAAGGGTGGGAAGCAGAGGAATGACGCTCACTCACATCTGAAACACAAGGTGTGGTTATCTCACACACACCATGGATCATGATACTTTAATCGTTACTTGGCAAAACAAAAGCTACTGTATGTGTGAAAGATGACCATTCTTGTGTATACATTGTACACCTGCATATCCAAATAAACATGTTGAAGGATTCAGTGGGGGGCAGCATGGTGGTTAGCACTGTTGCCTCACAGCAAGAAGGTCCTGAGTTCAGTTCCACAATCAGTGCAGGGTCTTTCTGTGAGGACTTTGCATGTTCTCCCAGTGTTTGCTTGGGTCCTCTCCAGGTGTCCATGCCTTTCTCCCACAGTCCAACGCAGGGTGGGGTTAGTTTAATTGGTAACTCTAAATTGCCCATTGTTAGCCCTGTGACTGGTGACCTGTCCAGGATATACTGTACCTCCAGCTGGGATAGGCTCCAGCCCCACAATCCAGACAAGGATAAGTGGAAGAGAATGGATGGAAGTATTCAGTGGGTTCAATCCAGTTTTTTGCTGCTCTGTTTTGCCCTTTTTGTCACACAGGTGTAGCAGAAAGCAGAGGTAGGCTATTTACACAATTTCTGAATACTGCTATACACTGAACATATGTGCACACAGCACTGAATTGGATAAGCAGAGGGAAATGGATGGATAGATTGACAGACAAGTTCATGTGTGCAGTATTTAGGATTATTTTATGCAACAGTGCCACCTGCTGTTCAAACTAATGAAGTGGCAAAAGAAAGTAAATATTATTCCATCATTTCTAATGATTCTCCAGTTATCTTTGTGTTTAATCCTGATCTAACTAGAAGTATAGATTCACTATGGAAATAACTCCAGGATGTGAATATATCCCTATGTTCTGGGGTCAACATCTGGCAAGCTGATAGATGCAGGTGCAAATAAAAGGAAACTAATATGTATTAAACAGCCATCTTGTGTTCCCTGATTTATTCCAATAACATTTAAGACTGTTGTTTCATCTGGTAATCATTGAGGCTTCAGCTGGTGCATCTTTTTGAGGTACACACTTCTTGTAAGACACAGACAGGTGACAAAAACATAAAAAACAACATTCAGGGGATCACCTTCCACTATTTTCACATGGTTAGAAGTCTTTATTGCAGCCTTTGTCAAAGCCCAAGAAGAGGTTGCAACAAAAACAACATTTATTTGCCAAGATATAACTAAATTAAAAGAGCACATGTTTAAAAGCAAGTCAGCAGTGTTATGTATGTATGGATGAGTGGCAGTGTATGAGCAGTAGCTGAATAGTAGTCTGGGAGCCCGAGTAAGGACTGAAGCAAAGAGGTAGCTCATAAGAACACCAAGCTCGTGCAGCTAATTAGCATCCAATTAGCTCCTGTGAGACAAAATATAACACAGAACAAAACAAGACCGACATATAGTGGCCATATGTCCTTGAGAGTCTCCAGTCCTTTTACTTATCTCTGTTTTCCACAAAAGCCTGCAGAGCTTTTACATTTGTAGTGAGTTACAGATTAGGCACTGAAAAGACATTTTAACTTTCGGATTGAAAAAAAAAAAGGCCACTGAAGTTGGATGCACTGGCTGATGTGGTGTGCACATTTAAACATGGGATGCAGGTTTAATATGACAATGCTGATTTACTGGATTTACAGACATATTAATGGATGGATGAATAATAAATATTTTTTTCTATATATTCAAATAAGAACAAAAAATTATAATTCAGGGCCAAACCAAATCACAGTGCAATCATGCTAGTGAAAGGATTCAATAAATTAGCACAGTATTAACTTACATCACTATGCAGCTACCATCTTAGCATTTCCATTTCTTTAAATTTAACCATAAAGGGTTCTGGTGTAAAAACCATACATTCAGGTGAGGAAATGCCTGTTCACATTGCATGGTAATCAGTCTTTGTTTTTCATCAGGTTAAGGAGGTAAACGGCCTACCAGGCCAAAGTGGTGGCTCTCGCGTTGTGTGACCAACAAAGTGACAGGATTGTGTATACTGGTGTAGTAAAGTTGGGAAAGGGTTTACAAGTTTAAATCTTCAGTGTCTTCTTGTTAATCTGAATGGATTTCAACAGTTGTATAATCAGAGTATAAACCAAATCCAGGACAGAGTGGTCGACTGAATCTGGTCTTGACTTTGTGGAGGAGAGTCATGTTTTGAGATGTTTCAGAGACGCTGTAGAAGGACAGAATACCTGCATCATAATCCAGGTAAATTCCAATTCTGGATGACCAGGGACCTGAGACTGGAGTTCTGATGTTGTTATGTCTGAATTCATAACCACCACAGAAACACTGTAACACCCACGACTTGTCATCATTTCCAAAAGCACTCTCTCTTCCTGATCTGCTGATGTCTTTGTGAGCTACTGCTATAAAAATTTCCTCCCTTTCATTCCACTGCACCTCCCAATAACAACGTCCTTTCAGACTTTCTCTACACAAAACTTGAAACCAGTCAGTGAATCTGTCTGGGTGAGCACGAAACAGAAAGCTCTGATTAACAGGGTGAAATTTTGCCATTACACCCTCAATTCTGATGTAGTTGTGTGCAGTTTTACTGTCAAAAGTGATTTGACATTTATATTTTAAGAATTCATCTCTGCTCGTGGGCTCTGTCTGTAACAGTAAAACATCCCCTCTAGTTCCTCTCAGAGACGCTACAGTCCATCCTTCACTGTGAATGCCCTGAAGTTTCCCTGTGACTGCTGTCTCACTCCCAGGATGAATATTGATGCTGGCTGAGTCTGGAGCTTCACTGAGACATGACAGCAAGGTGTAGTTGTGTAGAAACTGGGTGGGGTCCTCTGTGTGAGAGAGCTGCTCCAGCTCAGCTTTTCTCCTCCTCAGCTCAGAGATCTCCTGCTGCAGGACCTTCAAGCTTTTCTCTTTCTCTTTAATTTTCCTCTCGATGTCCATCTCTCTCTCTTTGAGCTCTCTCTGCTTCTCGCTCATTTCTGCTGCAGTTGAAACTGTGTCGTGGCCTTTATGTTCATCCATGGAGCACAGATAACAGATACACTGCTGATCAGTGTGGCAGAAGATCTTCATCACCTCATTGTGGCGAGAGCACATGATCTCCTGGAGCTTCTGGGAGGGGTCCACCAGCTTGTGTTTCTTAAAGGCGGAGGATTCATAGTGAGGCTGGAGGTGCTGCTCACAGTAAGAGACCAGACACTGCAGACAGGACTTGACAGCTTTCAGCTTTGTCTCAGTGCAGAAATCACAGCTCACATCTTCATGTTCAGCATGACAGAGATCAGCTTTAGCAGCTTGGAGTCCAGTCTTCTTTGTTTCCTCCACTAAATCTGCTATCACGGTGTTTCTCACCGGTGTGAAGGTCTGTCTGCACTGAGGACAGCTGTGGGTTTCCTTCTGATCCTCTTCATCCCAGTAGATTTTAACACACTTCATACAGTAGCTGTGTCCACAGGGAATAGTCACCGGATCCTTCAGGAGATCCAAACAGATCGAGCAGCAGAGTTTGTCTCGGTTTACCTGGTTTACTTGCTGCGCCATTTTCGGGATGACAATGTCAATAAATCGCCTTAACTCACCAAAACAGTCCGCCTAATTTTAAAGACAGCAGCTCGACGTCTGTCAAGAGAACTTTTTTGGCTTCACATGTACTAAGCAGTTCTTTTTTTCTTTTTCTTTTTTTACTAAGCAGTTCAAAGTCTTCCAGCTGAATAAAAACACGGGAATATTCTTCTTCCTTTTAAAATTTGTATTGGTGGTTGGCAAACAACTGAATGGTGTATTACCGCCACCAACTGGTATGGAGTCTGAACTGGAACGTCGCTCAAAAACAACAAAACGAAAAAACCTCAAATTCTTCCAAACAATTTCCCCTCTTTTAAAAACTGAAATACGGCCTGATAACTTTTACTTCCATATTCCTTTTGCAATAAATTGATGAGACTCAGTTTCATTTTTAAATTATTGAAGTTTTGGATCAATTGTCTTCTCTCCACCTGATACTTCTGGCAGTGCAATATAACATGTTCTATAGTTTCCTCTTCTCCACAGTAGTCACATTTCACTGTATTATGTTTCCCTATCATGAATAGTGTAGTGTTCAAACCAGTATGTCCAAATCTCATTCTCGATATGACCACCTCCACTCTCCTAATCCTTTCTGTGGTTCTCATTTCTCCTACACTCCTTTGAATTTTATACAACCACTGTCCCCTCCTTTCTTCCTCCCACTGTTTTTGCCATCTTTTCCTAATTTCTTTCCTTATGATACTCTTTACCTCTGCCTGACCAGAATTAATAGCCAGGTCAACTACCCCCAACATAGCAGACAGGTCTGGCCTGGATCTGGTGTCAAGCCGGCACTGCTGGCTGACTTCTGGCACGGTAAGTGGTATGTCATCCAGATAGGGGCCAGGCCTGTTTATGTGATGGCATGCCACATCTGGCCTAATTGTGGTTTGGTTTATGCGGCCCAGACCCATAGAAAACAGGTCTGGCCCGGATCCGGCATCATGCTGGCACTTCTGACTGACCGGTGTCATGGCAGGGTGTATGTTAACCAGATATGGGCCAGGTCTGGCAATTATGGCACTATTTATGTTCCTATGTTCCTATTTTAGTTAGAAGACCCAAATGCCATGTTGCAACACTATACTGCTATGGTAGCCAACATTTCAAATGCAGGTTTGACAGGTTTGTGAGTGTACACTTTATCCAAAACCTCATGAGGGTTTACTTATGTTTACCACTGAGTGTCTGTAGCTCAGGAGGTAGAGCAGGTCACCTAGTAATCCGAAGGTTTTTGGTTCAATCCCTGGCTTCTCCAGTCTGTATGAATGCAGTTAGGAAACACTCAGTTTAGAGCAGGCATGTGAATGTGGAACGTTGCACCTTTAGTAATCTGGAAGAGTAGAAAAGTGCTTTATAAGAATCAGTCCATTCAATGTCTGAACACAGTTCTGTCATGTTACTTTTGCACAGTTATGTTCTGGAACATGTTGTTATTACATGGCTTGATGAAGGTACACATTAGGCTGACATATGGGGCCAGAGCTAAAACTGTTCTGGGAAAGCACAGGGCCACCAGTGTGTCTGCAACTGGCCTTGTGCTGGCCCATGTTTGGGCCGTACCAATTTTGTTATGTGGGCCCATGTTTTGTGGCTTCCTTTGCAACTCTATCTGCCATTTCATTCACCCTTACTCCATAGTGCTCCATAAAAACACAATTGTACGTCCCATCATGTGTATTCTGAAAAGTGTTTGCTGAACCTCTGCTATAACATCTGCTGTACCTTCTGAGTGACTACACTGTAAACTGACCAATGACGAGCTTGAGTCTGAACAAATGACTACTTTTAATGGCCTCGTGTCTTTTACCCACTGAACAGCTAATAGTATTGTGAGCATTTCTCCAGTGTATACTGGCAGTCCATCATTGATCCTTTTCCCTATTTCAACCATAAACTCCGGGACCACAACTGCTACACCAGTTTGACTGACTGAATTCTTTGATGCGTCTGTATATATTGAACATAATTATACAGTAATTGTGTACTGTTGCTTTAAGAGACCAACCCTCGCTGGATTACTTAAGCTAACTTTCAGATTTCCAGACAGTCAAACTTCTCCAGTTTTATATCATCCAGCAAGAAGACTTGTGAGTTTGACCTGCTTATTATCCTCGCAGAATAAAGGAATAAAGCTTTCCTGTGTTCTTCCAACCAACATCGAGTGTTTGAAATGAGTTGGAGAGGTGAGGGGACAACGAGCTGAGTTACATTTATCATCCCGAAAATGGCGCAGCAAGTAAACCAGGTAAACCGAGACTGCTGCTCGATCTGTTTGGTAGTGATGGGCAGATGAAGCTTCATGAAGCACTGAAGCTTTTCATCCAATTGGTTCATCCCAGCACAAAGCTTCTTGAAGCTTCATTTGCTCTAGTAGGACATCTACTGCACGTAAAAATATTAGTTGACATGAATTTGAAGAGTGTGGCCTTTTGCACACAGCCTGTAAATATCAACAACAAAAGGAGTGTGTAAAACATGTATATTGTAGTGATGGCAGTATACTGTGTATATTTATACTGGCAGGATGGAAAATGATTATTTGGAAATGCTTAAATGGAAATGATCATTTACTGTGAGGTGAGGTGTGGTTGGGGTGTGGACAGTGGTTGTGCTTTTGTAACGTTGAGGTATGGACAGCTACACACTGCCTGTTCACATTTTATTCTGTAAAAACTAAATTTTCACTGCTTTTACGACCTTTTTAGTGGGGAGAACATAGCTAGGATTTAATGATTTAACAAATGTTTTAAATCCTTTGTCCTCCACAATGCTAAATGGCTGGGAGTCCTCAATCACCATGCTGACCAGGTTTTCATCTATTTGAGATTGTTCTCCTGAGGAAAGACAATAAAGACAAAGCACAGATATAAATAACCACACACGTAACTTATTACAGTTGTATAATATTGTTATATCATTTAGTAACATTACTGCATGCTATATTATCATGGCATTTGATGGCTCACCTGGTCTTGCTCCACAATCGGTGTTCCCCTTATTCTCATGCAAAGCTCTGTAATGCCTAAGCATGGATGAGGTGTTGTTGTTATATCCCAGCTCCCTGGCACATAGCAAACACTTCACCTTGTACAAAAGTAACGACAGCTTAACATAAATTGTATTGCACCATCAGTATTATGAAAATACATCTTCTGTAGAAATGTACATACCTTGTTGGGAGGAATAAGATCAAAATGTTCCCACACAGGGGAGGACATCCTCCTCTTCTTAGCTGGCTCCATTCTCTCCTGACTTTCTCTCCTCACTCTCATACCCCTGAGACACGGGCGACCGTGTCTCAGGGGTTGGGAATCGCATCTGTAACCGGAAGGTCGCCGGTTCGATCCCTGGGCCCTCTGTCCTGGTCGTTGTGTCCTTGGGCAAGACACTTTACCCTACTGCCTACTGGTGTTGGCCAGAGGGGCCGATGGCGCAATATGGCAGCCTCGCTTCTGTCAGTCTGCCCCAGGGCAGCTGTGGCTACAACTGTAGTTTGCCTCCACCAGTGTGTGAATGAATAGTGGTATTGTAAAGCCCTTTGGGTGCCTTGAAAAGCGCTACTGTATATAAATCCAATCCATTATTATTATTATCATAAACCTCCAAACGGTCTCCAAACTCTCACTAACCGCAACTCTGCATCAAACACCCACATTTTTGAATGAAGTCTGAGGGGTTTATATCGCTGTCGTAGCTCGTGGCAAATTCGAACCACTTCATGAACCAGTCACGTGGTACAGCCGGGCAGCGAGGCTTCGGACGTCATCATTTTCAGCTCCTCCCATAAATGAAGCAAGCCTCGATACGTGCATCGCGGAAACGCCCCCTCCATTACTCGACACAAGCTTCGAAGCCTCGATACAGAACGTCACATCACTACTGTTTGGATCTCCTGAAGGATCCGGTGACTATTCCCTGTGGACACAGCTACTGTATGAACTGTGTTAAAATCTACTGGGATGAAGAGGATCAGAAGGAAACCCACAGCTGTCCTCAGTGCAGACAGACCTTCACACCGAGGCCTGCTCTGGTGAGAAACACCGTGATAGCAGATTTAGTGGAGGAAACAAAGAAGACTGGACTCCAAGCTGCTAAAGCTGATCTCTGTCATGCTGAACATGAAGATGTGAGCTGTGATTTCTGCACTGAGACAAAGCTGAAAGCTGTCAAGTCCTGTCTGCAGTGTCTGGTCTCTTACTGTGAGCAGCACCTCCAGCCTCACTATGAATCCTCCGCCTTTAAGAAACACAAGCTGGTGGACCCCTCCCAGAAGCTCCAGGAGATCATGTGCCCTCGCCACAATGAGGTGATGAAGATCTTCTGCCGCACTGATCAGCAGTGTATCTGTTATCTGTGCTCCATGGATGAACATAAAGGCCACGACACAGTTTCAACTGCAGCAGAAATGAGCGAGAAGCAGACAGAGCTCAAAGAGAGAGAGATGGACATCGAGAGGAAAATTAAAGAGAAAGAGAAAAGCTTGAAGGTCCTGCAGCAGGAGATCTCTGAGCTGAGGAGGAGAAAAGCTGAGCTGGAGCAGCTCTCTCACACAGAGGACCCCACCCAGTTTCTACACAACTACACCTTGCTGTCATGTCTCAGTGAAGCTCCAGACTCAGCCAGCATCAATATTCATCCTGAGAGCTACACTGAGCATGTGGCAGCAGCTGTGTCAGAGACCAGAGAGAAACTGCAGGACAATGTTGAATGGACCATAACTGCTGTTGAAGAAACTCAGGGGGATGTTTTAAACTGTCAGAGACAGAGCCCAAGACCAGAGCTGAATTCCTAAAATATAAATGTGAAATCACATTTAACCCAAACACAGCACACCAGCGTGTTGTGCTTGGGCCTGGCTTAAAAGCAAAATATACTCAGACAATCAGGCGCTATGATCACACTGACAGATTCACTGACTGGCCTCAGGTGTTGAGCAGAGAGATTTTCACAGGACCTTTTTACTGGGAGGT